ACTCCGCTTTCTGGCCCTTGCACCTGGGCCCCCCTGGGGCTGCATGTGCAGGGTCGCCCTGTGTGCACTGTAGGCAGCAAGTGGGAGCCAGCCCCAAAACTTTGCCGCAGTGAAGAGGAGCTGGAGCTGCCACAATGTGAGGGCTGCGGGGAAGTTTTGGGGCTGGCTCCCACTTACCGCCCTGGTAATGGGATGGGGAGTGGTAGAGCTCCAAGCTGGTGGCTGGGAGCCGCTTCCTGCCTGTCACCTTTGTGCCCTGTTCTGGGCAAGCTCCGCACAGGAATAGGGAGTGCGCTCAATCAGGCAGTAATGGAACTTCCAGACGCTGTGCTGGCTGCTTGCAGCGCTTCTTCTCTGAGAGCAGGAACTCTTGGGATACATCTGGAGGACTTCCAGGACCCAAGTCATGCCAGGGCCGTTTGCTTACAGAAAAGCAGTAGGGCTCAGATCCTAGGTCCCAGCTTAACATGGGCTCAGACCCTGCAGCGTCCTGGGGTCCTCGGTCTGAGACCTAGGTTAGCATATTTGCTGTGTGGATGCATGGGGAGTTTTGCTTGACTCTGGACTCAGACCCAGGCTTAACTTGCTGGCGGACATACTCTGAGGCTCAGCACAAAACTCACAGCTCAAAAGGGGGTTGTTATGGTGGCTTTAGGTCCTCCTGATCCTGGTCTGCTGCAGGAGCTATAGAGACCTCCATTGTAGCTTAGACAGCCCTGGGGTCCTGTCTAAGTTATGGAAGCTTTTCCCTTGGCTGCTCTGTGGGTTGCAAAGCAATCTAGACTCTCCACAGTGCTGTTTGCTAGAGCTCTGCCCTGACACACAGACACCTCCCCTGCCATGCCCGTCCCCAGCATGCTATTTATTCCCGAGGTTATGAGGGGGTCCTTGGGAGGGAGCCTTCTGTCTATTTTATGCAGTATCCGCATTAGGGATATCTCCCCAAGGGCCGAACAAGGGCTTTTAGGACTCCTTTACCCTGTTCTGGCTCTTTTGCCTACCATAAAGGGACCAGAGCAGGAGTGAGGATCTTACTTTTGTCCTTTAGCACCCTTACTAGTTCTGAAATGTTTTCCAGCTTCCATATACATGGATGCATTTCACATGCTAAGGGAAATAGACATATGCAGTATACATCATTATACAATAGGACTAGAAATGACAAAATCACAATAAGATGTAGCCAAGAAGATTGTATCCAGCTTCATTTGGGGTTTTTCTTCTGAAGTACAGTAAATATGTTCTTCTTCGAGTGATTGTTCACGTCCATTACACATTAGGTGTACGCGCGCCGCGTGCACGGACGTCGGAAACTTTTTCCCTTAGTGGCTCCTGTCGGGCCGGCAGGGCCCCCTCCTTCCCGCCAGAGCGGCGCCCTGCTCCAGGGTATATATATCCCTGCCGACCCGACCCCTCCAGTTCCTTCTTACCGTCCGTGGCGGCGTTGGAACAACTCTGTCTCTCGTCTGAGAGTGTCCCTTAGCATAGTCATTAGTGTTATTTAGCAGTTATCAGTTAGTTT